TTATCAAACAAAAAAAAAAAAAAAAGTGTTATTTTCTCCCGTGCGCCCCTCCCCCTCACGTTCTTGTCCCCTCTTAAAGAGCGGGGTCACCACAGCATTTTGTATTTCTGTGCCCGGTTAATTTATTTACAGTCGTCACCACACAACACTGGTTTCTCAAGGGTTCAGCTTCTGCTTGGTTTCCTGGAGGCCCAGGCGGAGGTGCCGGGCAGCAGGGAGGTCCCTGGTGTCAGAGCCTGGGGATGGTTTCCCTGAGGATGAACAGAAGCAGATTAACGCTAGCCTCCAAAAAGCCTGCCTGGCGGGCAGATTTGAAGCGAAGAAAGTGGGGGAAGGGGCATTTTTCTCTCTGATGGTCTTTAAGGAAAATTCATTTTACTTTTTTTATACTTCTGGAAGAAGTAAGTGTTCAGGAGATGTCACTCAGTCTTTGTCTTCCACTTTAAACTGGTTATAGGATTCATAAACGTCAGCTCCGAATCGGGACGGGGAGAGCCCCTCGTTTTTCCGCCGAGAAGCAGCAGCTGCGGACTGTGGCCTCCCGTGGTGAGGGTGTCTTTTTCCTCTCCCTTTCCTCTCCCAAGTCCTCTCCTGATCTCAGAGGTAACTATGCAAAGAATCCAGACGGTTCTGAATGTGAAGGCACAACACCCCACAGAGTCCCCTGTGGCCGACCTGTGCCACCCCTTGGTAGGGTCCCCCAAAATGCATAGATTTATAATTCCTGCAAGGGGAGTCCTTGGATTCTTGCAGGAAATGTGTGAGGGGGGCTGTCCACAAAGGCCTGGGCTGTCTCCCTGGAGAGTGGAGGCCACGTCTTTTTATTTTTCCCCCGTGTCCGGGAAGAGGTCCGCTGGCCCCTTTGTCAGCGAGGAGCGTGTGCATTTGCTGTAGTTGTTGGCTGTTTCCCTCCCGTTCGGGCTGTACTGTTCTTTAATGGCTGTCTTGCCTTTCAAAAAAGAGGAAAAAAGAAAGAAAAGAAAACAAAAAAAAAGGTTTGTTTAGTTTACTGTGAAATGAACTGTATGGCTTATTTACAGTATTTTTAATTCTTAATAAACACTTGAGCTTTGTTACTTTCCCTGAGTGGTTTCTTTCAGAGAATTTAGTAATTAGGATGTCTTTTACGGATGTGCAGCATTGAGGATTAGAAAGGTAAGTTTTCAGTTTTCAGACTTTTTTTTTTTAATTCTGAAATCAGGATGGCCTCACTCTTAGGCCTGGAACTTTGGGTTGTCATGGCTCTTGTTAGCTATTTGAATCTTCTGGAAGCTTTAACACTCTTAAGCCTGGAACTTTCGATTGACACTTGTTAGCTATTTGAATCTTCTGGAAGCTTTAAAAATGCCCGGACCTGCCCTCAGGCATTTGGGATGAAGAGGTTATTAAGAGGGCTGGCAGTAGGATTTTAAAGGCGCCCCAGCTGGTTCTAATGTGCAGCCAGGTTTGAGAACCAGGGTCTCAGACCATCTGGCAACCTCCAGCCCCAGTACAAACCTGGGCATGTTGCCATTACTTCCCAGGTTGCCTCTACCTCCTACCTAATACAGGGGTGTATTGAGTACCTGGGTGCCGGCATTGTGCTAAGCACTGCATAGGCTTC